TGACTGACTGACTGGCAGATGGGGCATGGCTGAAGGAGGTGGGTCACTGGGGGTATGCCCTAGAAGGATGCATCTTTCCTGCGGGGTCCCTTTCTGGCTCCCATCTCTCTGCTCCCTGACTGCATGAATGAATAGTGCTCCTCCACCAGGCTTCTTCCAGAATATTCTGCCTCACTTGGGCCCAGAGCAGTGACCTCAACCCACCATGGACTGAACTTCTGGAACCATGAGCCAAAATTAACTCACCCTCCTCTAACTTGTTCTTGTCAGGTATTTCAGTCACAGTGAGGCAAAAGCTGACTAACAGAGGGGGAAACCCCACACATTTGAAAACAAAATCACAATGATAGTAACTCATGGGTCAAAAAAGAAATGATTATGTTAGCAAATAAAGGCTAAATTTAATGTGATAAGCATTCAACTTTATACATTTAAGAACAAAATCAAGTATAATAAAGGAGGACCCAAATAATAATCAAGAATAATGAAATAGAAAACAAACATACAATAAAGAGGATCAAATAAGCCTAAAGCCTGTTACTAATATGATTGACAAATCTCTGGAAAGATTTCTCAAGAAAATAGAAAGAAGGCAAACACAAACATAACCTTCAGAATAAAGGACACATAACTACAGACCTTAATAATCAAAATGGCCATCAAAGAATATTATAACAATTCCACATTGTTAATTTCAAAACAGGAGAAATTGAAAACTTCTTAGGTGTAATTGATAAAACCTAACTCAAGAAGAATTAGAAAATCTGAATAGTGTTAGAATTGTTTAGAAAATTGTATAAGTAGTTAAATATATTTAACAATAACTAAAAAAAGCACCAGATTTTATAGATGATGTATCTGAAACAATCTAGGAATTGATAGTCTCAAGATGATACAAACTCCTTCAGGAAACGGAAAAAGAAAATACTGCCCCACCAATTCTATAAGCTAGGATGATTTTGTCATTAAAACCAAACTACAACATTATGAAAAGTAAAATTATAAGTGAATTTCCTTATGAATAGAGATAACCTTATATTCCTTCAAAGGGTAAGAAGTACTGAGTTGAATTTAATTTAAAGGAAATAAAATATTTGCTAAGTGCAATAATATATAAGGGATTTTCCCTATCAAGGGATTTTCTTTTCAGTAAGCAGCAAAGAAAAACATTAAAATCAGAGGTCTCATAGAGTTTTGCATCCATAGAGAGTGTTGATCTTTGTGAGAGAGTAACTCATGGCCTCCATTCCATATAGCAGCAGACAAATACCCGATGTGGGTCCTCCTCTATGACAAATCCCATAGGGATTCACACATGCCAGTCGCAGTCCTAAGATGCCAACGTGGACAAAGGACCTTGATAATATCCTATAGTTCTTTAAAGAATTCTGTGGTCAAAAAGGAGATGAGGGAGTACTTTCAAATATGACAAATGACTGGGAATGGAAATATGCTTATCCTTATCCTGCTGGAGTATTTTAATGAATGATGAAAACCCAGAGGACAAAGAGTTGACAGAAGAGAAATGAGAGTATAGGGGGAAATGGATGGTCAACAGCAGGTAGTGCAGTCTTGGAAGAGGAGAATGGAGTATGGTAGCAAAAACAGGCATGTGGAAACAGACTGCTGTGAGTGGTGGTGGTTTTTGGTGATACCAAAGAACTAAAATCCAAGATAAAAACTAAATTCCAAGCAACATGAGAATAAGGATAGTTTCCACCATGTTCTCTACTCCTCAGTGCTAAGCACCAGGCCTGTGATATTATAGACACTCCACAAAATTTGTGGAATAGTTAATAAAATTTTAAAAGGCTATATATTAAGAGACTGTGTCAGTGGAGCATGGTGGCGCACACCAATAATCCCAGTAACTTGGGAAGCTGAAGCAGGAGGACCACAAGTTCAAAGCCAGCGTCAGCAACTTAGCAAGGCCTTAAGCAATTTAGGGAGACTCTGTCTCAAAATAAAAAATAAAAAGGGGTGGGGATGTAGCTCTGTGGTTAAGCACCCCCGAGTTCAACCCCTGGTATTAAAAAAAGGCGGGGGGGAGGCTGTCAGTATAGATGTAGATAAATAAAGAAATAACTGGTGGCTATGTGGGTACATGGTTTATTTTTTAAATCTCTCCACTGAGAGGATGGAGAAACAAAAGATTGTAGTAGCAATGTACATGCTCATTGCCCAGATCTGGATTTTTAATACCATCTTTCAATAAAAGGAATCAGGGCACCTTGGAAAAATGTCTGCTTTTAGAGCCACAGCAGAAAATATACACCTTGCAATGCCAGAAAATAAAGTGGAAAAAAATACACACACAGAAAAACAAAGTAATGATGGGATGCATAAAGAGGGCAACAGGAGCCAACTGAAAGAGCTCCCAGTGGTCAAAGCTGGAACAACTGATCTGAACAATAAAAATAAATAAATACTGGATTAAATTTGAGATATAAACCAAAGGATAAAATATGTAACCCGTGAGTCCTTGCTGATATAAAAAACTGAATAAAATAAACGGAGAAGATAGAAAATTTCCCATACAAATTCTAAATGATTTCTGTAGATACTGCCCCCTAGAGGAGCCTGGAGTGTAACTCCCCATACCTAGAGTATGGGCTGACCATAGTGACCCTTAGGGGCTGGGAGGTCTTTGTAGAGGAGAAATGTGATAATCACCACCACTTCAGTCAGGTGGTGGCATTCATCATCAGTGACACTTTATATTGGTGGCAGTTACCCTTGATATGATGTGACGAGAAAAACACTTTATATCTTTGGTCTTTCTAATTCCATAACCACAGTCTAAGAATGAGAAGAAGAAAAAAAATCAGACAAACTGATATTGAGGGGCATTACACAAGATATCTTGCCATATCAGAATTGTCAAGGTTATCAAAAGCAAGCAAAGTTTGATAAACTGTCAATCTAGAGGATCCCAAGGAGACATCTAAATGTAATGTAGTATCTTGGATGGGTTCTTGGAACAAAAAAGGGACATGAGGTAGAAACTATTAGTTAAAAAAAGCATATCAATATTGGTCCATTGGTTTTGATACCCATGTGCCATACTAATTTAAAATGTAAGGGGAAACTGGGTGTGGGATATATGGGAACTCTCTGTGTCATCTTTGCAACATTTCTGCAAATCTAAAAGCATTCTAAAATGAAGTTTATTTTTAAAATATAAGCTACTATTTATCAAGTGCCATTAGTTATTCTAAGCAGTTATATTTACTAACCACTTCAATCTTCACAACAACCCTATGATGCAAACATGATTATCCCCATCTCATAAGGAAGCTAAGGCAAAGAGGGGTTAAGGAATTGGTCCAGGTCATCACACAGCCAGCAAGAATGGAATAGGGCAATGAACCCATCAGAAATACTGTCATCTCCTTAGTACAGAATGCTCTGTGAAACTGTATCTCAGCTCTAAGATTGGATTCCCTGCATTTTAACAGGGCTCTGTTGTGTTGAAAAAAGAGTATGGGGCAAGTTAAACAGCTAATGTTATAAAAAGTTTTGAAAACTATGATAACCAAAAGCTTATTAGGGTTTTGAACTTCTACCAGAGTGAAGGAAGAGGGAGAAAAGATTATGGGTATAAATATGAGTAACTTAAGCTTTATAAAAACAATTTCAATAAAATGAGGAATTTACTTAGTAGAATAAATTGGCAAAAGTTATTACCCAAAAGCAAAGTAGGGGAAAATGGCCATGTTCTAAAGGATTAAGACAGCTGGCTCAGGTGAAGCACGTACTGTTATGCAAAAATAATCATAAAAGTTTTAAAATGTGGATGCTTGGCAAATTTTGGGATCTGACTGTGAATAAAAATAGAAGCCTAATATCATAGTCAGCCTAAGAGAATAGAATTATGGTCCATAAGGAGGACACTGCCACTCACAAGAGGAAAAAAAAAACATGACAATCAAAGCATAACAAAGAATGAAGTTTTGTTTTGTTTAATATCATAGAGAGTTGAAATATAAGAAAGAGTCAATGAAGCTGTTATTTGGGTAGGCAAAGTTAGAAACAGTTGGCCCCCACAAAGGAAATGGAGGAAGGCCTGAATAGATTCATTCAGAAATAGAGTGAGACATAGAAAGCAGCCTAAAAATCACCTTTAGAAGCAAAATGGGTACTGCTGATCGACTGGCACATTGGCTGAAATTACTTTATTTTCCAATGAGTCTTCTCTAATAATCTTCCTTTGCTTTCCAATGTCTGACTCCAAGTGTTTTCTTTTTCCTTATATTCTTTCCCTACATTTATTTTTATCAATCAAAAGGTAGAACCTTTGTTGTAGGTTTTTCTGAGAAAGTTGTATTCAGAAGAGGACAGAAATGCAGGATAGGGCCATTTCCTTAAGACTGCAAAGTCCTCCCTCCAATTTTTAAATTGATTTCCTCACAGAACATAGATTTCAATAAGATGGTTTCCTACCTAATATATTCTTACTATAAATAATCTTTATGTTTCAATGAAACTCCTCTTAAACTTCTTAAGAACTTAAAAGATACCAGTGTTGTAAATATTTCTTTACACTTTCCACAGAAACCAATGCCTACTGATATCTAAAATAAAAGCAAAAAATTTTTGAAATAAGAAAAGGTATACAATAAAAACTGTCTTAGATAATAAATATAATTTTTCAAGAAAATTCCTGCATATCAAACAATTTGAATGTAATTTTTTTAAAAGAAAATCTACTCTTAACGAGTAATTTGCTCCCAGAACAGTAAGAAAAATACCTACTTAGGTCCTGCATTTAAGTGAACACAGCTGCCACTTTTCAAAGACTTTGAAGTACACTTCTTCTACCTAAATCCAGCAAGTATTTTTCTCACCACACATTTCAGTAGCATTCAGGATTCCTGGCCAATCCTTCATCCTAGAAAGGCCCTCATCCTGTCTTTTGGCCTCAGTGACACAACCCTTTTGGCCACATAATCCCTCACAGGTCCACCTTCTTCATAGCCACACTCTCTTAAACACTCAGCCCCAGGTCCTGCTCCCCTGCTTGCACAGTGGTCTCCAGACAAACTCGTCCATACTCAGTATTGCTACATACGGTGTCTGCATGTGATTCACTCATGTCTACTCTTCTCTGAGTGCCAGGCCCACGCATCCAATTGTCTACTTGACATGGATTGATTTCTCAAGGATATACAAGCTAAACCTCTCTAAAACCAAAGCCTCACCTGCCCACCCTCAGAAGCTTCTTCTAGTACTCCCATCCCTAAAATGGTAGCACCAATGAACCATGAAAAAACTATATTTAATCAGGTAAACTTATTTTCTTATAGGGAGATAAATGTGATATAAAATACCATATTTGGAGGGCAGAAGAAACCTAAGAAAGAACATCTGAAAGTTGTTGGATAGACAAATGAGTTTGTCATAGAGGATATATAATATTCCTTCATTTCCTAATGTCTGACTCCAAGTGTTTTCTATTTTCTCATATCATTTCCTTATATTCATAAGAGGATATAACACAATTTTATCCCACTGAATAATACTCCTTCTCATAAATGGAACACTACAGTATCCTATGCATAACTTTGACTGGGGTCCCTTCAAACCAGAATGTTTCATAAAGATTGGAAACCAGTAAAGGCAAAATTAACTCATGGAAATACGAATTGACATACATGACAAGATAGAGAAAGGTAATTATGCACAGTTTCATTTAATATTTGTAAAGTCGTTGGCAGAGACATTTCTCCAGAAGTCATTTGGACACCCTGCATTTTTTAGAATGTTGAGGGTCAGCCTGGGTAAGAGGAATAGAGAAGTTGAAAAGCCATCACATACAGTGCTATCAGTTCCTTGAAGCTCTACAATCAATCATCTTTCCTTTCCAAAGGATTGCTCCATAATCTAGCACAATGTGAAGTATAGTCTGTTAAGCAGAAATAGGTCACCTGAACCACAGATTGTGAACCTGAAACACAACAAGAAGAAAGTTTTATTTAACACAGCAAAAATTTATAAGTAACAGACATCTGATAAAACATTAAGAAATCAAACATTTAGCTAAGCACTTACAGAAATGACTTACCATGAGTTATGGATTTTGAAATGGTCCCCAAAGGATTAAGGGCAAATCCCTTTACTGAATATATTTAAAATTAGATTCAAAGAAAAACTTGAGTGAGAGAACACTAGAGTGAAAAATCCCACACTAACAAATATGAAACAGATGCATTTTAACTTTGTCTATTTTTAATATGTACAACTGTTATTTTTCTGATTCATTAAAAAATAGATATGGTATTCTAAACACTCTTGCCATAAATAACATAAAAATTAAATCAAAAACCCTTACCAATGGTGCTAGAGACTTATATAAAACGAAATTTAAATATAAAACTGTAAACTCCAAACACTGCTTTTATCACAGATATACAGAGTTCTTAGGGAAGTTCTTTAGAAAATGATCTATTCCCAAGCTCCCCACAACTCACTCGGGATTGTGAACTTCAAGCACTGCAGCTGATTTTAATTGCCATGATGATGCATAGGCAGAGACGTGATATCTGGAGTAACTGGCTTCTAAACAATGAGGGGCTTTAAAGATTAAAGTCAACACTTTAAATTGCACTCAAGACTGAATAGGAAGCTATTGCTGACCACTGGACGTAGGTGTAATATTCTCCATATGTTCTGGGCCTTGTAACTGAAAGACATCTAGCCCTCTGCATAACACACAATATAGACCCAAAGGCACAGCATTATAGTATGGTGCAATATTACTAGCTCTATATATGTTAGAAACACAAATTTCAGAATGTAAACAAGATATACCTATAGTGAAAATTGTTCTTGGAAATAGGATGCAAACTGGAGAGATCAGTAGATATCTATGAGGTCTTCTTAATCAAAAGCAAGCTGGTTGCTGCAGCTAAATGGATTTTGAATACCTGAAAGGCTAGTCCAGATGTGAATTGGTCCATAACTCCTGATGTTACCTGTTAACAGTGGAAATACAGGGTGCATCAATAGCTGGCTAGACCCTTTCATCTATGAGAAGGCACAACGTAGTTGACTTCCATTTGAGTAAGAGTTAACTGAACACTGTGACTAAAAGTGTAAAACTTGAATAACTTACTCAGTATTCTTAGCCCCCTAAAGAAACAGTGTATCCCTAAAGTAGACAGTCCTTGAGCTAAACATATTAAACGCAAAATCTTACTGGAAATACTAAATCAAATAAATCAGGGGTAACCCTGCCAATGAGAAAGAAAATTCTCCAAATAGTATAGTTTTGTTTTAGTCACTGACATATGGGAAAATTTATGTAGTAAAGTATATGCTTATAAAGTTTCAACTTATATTTAGTGGGGGAAACAATTTATTATACCAAAAAAAAGCATAAATGTATGACAGATGGTAATGCTTTTTTTCTGCTCTTGGCAAGGTCTCTTTTAGGCTGAATGACTTTTGCTTCTTAAAACTATGAACATTGTCATTCACACCTATTTTCTGAAATTAAACAGACCAATTCTATGATGAAATCCCCTATAAATTTGGTTACTATATAATGTCTTCCCACTTTTAAATCATAAATTATCTAGAATACCACTTTCCCTAGAATACTGAAAAGACCAAAACTGGAAAAAAAATGGTATTCTGTAATGAAACCTTTATTTTAAATTCCTTAAATCAATTTTGGAAAAACTTCTAAACTTAAATTTATTCTGGTAGGACTTTATAAAGGAAACCATAAAAGAGTATACTAGAAGTACATTCTTCCATCCAAAAATCTTTATTTGGGGCTTTTGAAATGTTCAATTCCTTTAAGTCACTGGAAAATTCTTTATACACACACACACACATATACATATATATGAATATATATGTATATATACATATATGCATACACACACACACACACACACACACACACACAATGGATTTTTCAGTTCATCTACTGAGAAATTGGCAAAGATTTTCCTAAGTGTATATGACATAAGAAGGCTTTAATGCAATCCAGTTGTTTAAAGTGAGAAATCAATTTACTGGATAAAGAAGTGAAGGAAAGTATTGTATAAGCAGTTGAAAGACAAGACAAAGGGTGAGATTGGAATTGAATGGGTAATACTTGATGTAATTTCCCAAGGCGCAGGAATGGAGGACAGGGTAGAGGAGATTTCTGTGAGATCCAAGAGTTTCAGTTGTTACCCCAATATCTGGGCAGTTAGAGGAAGAACAGGAACAACGTGAGGGAGATGCTTTTTAAAGGCCACGCCTTTACATAATTTTATTTATGTCCCATTGGCCAGAACTTAGTCACATGTACACATGTAATGATTAAAAAAAGGCTTAAGAATGCTTTCTAACTCTTACAGTAGGAAAAAGAAAAAAAATGTTTTCTGAAAAGCAGGACAGAATATTTATTGCCACAATAAATATCACAAACACTTTATTGCTGCCAAAGTCAGGGTTGGATAGCTGTCACTTGCAAGAAATAGCTAGTGACATTTTCTCTACAATTTTAAAGTAACATTTAATTTCACTCTTTTGTCCTTATTTCATTTTTTTCTCCTTTGTTTCTCTTTCTTATCTGCAACCTATTTTATTAATCATCTGCTACTGATTTGGCTTGACTGATTGCACAGAGTTTTATTCTGAAGTGTGCATTCACATTCAAGAAGAAAGAAAATTAGTAACATAGCATGCCATACATAAACATCTAGTTATACTTTTTAAAAAACATATTTTAAATGCCCACAATTTATTTATTGGCTTTCTAATACAAACCCAGGCCTTTTCCCCCCAAGCAGTTTAAAACAATGAATTATCAAAGAATTATCAAAGTTTAGAATGATGGAATCTATAATTCTCAGAGTTTTGGTACAAGATTCACCTTTATTTTAATCCATAATTCAAAAACAATCACCTTGTAATGCTGAGAAAATGTTAGTGTAGAATAAAATTCTGAAGAAAACACTATGAATATGAATCAGCGGCAGCCTCAGTGTTTGCTATGAACAAAGAGAAATCCTTTTCTGGAAGGTAACTCTGGCATCACCAGACCTCAGTCATTTTATTCTTATGGTAAGAAGAGAGGGTTTGTGGATATGAGCTGTGGCTAGGCTGCATAGATTTATTCCCTCTGAAAAGATAAATTATACATCTTGCAACAAGAAAGGAAAATTTGTATTTTTTTTTGGTAAATTGTGTGTGTGTGTGTGTGTGTGTGTGGTGTGAAAGACTATTTCTGAAAATTGTCCTTTTCTTCAGAATCCATATGAAAAAAATTTAGTAGGAGGGAAAAGTCTCCCTTCATTGGTTCAAATTATGAACAATAAATTAAAAGATGAACAACATCCTTAAGACTGCCCATCAAATGAAGTATGATTATAGTGACTGGATATCAATATTTTGTTATCCAGCTTTCCATCGTTATGACAAAATACCTCAGATAATCAGCTTATAAAGAGGAAAGGTCTATTTTGGCTCATGGTGTCAAAAGTTTCAGACCATGGCCACTTGACCCCATTCTATCTGGGGCTGTGGTGAGGCAGTACATGATTGGGGGAGCACATAGCAGCAAAGCTGCTGACTTCATGGCAGCTTGAAAGCAAAAAAAAAAAAAAGAAAGAAAGAAATAGCAAGGGGCCAGGTCCTACTATGCCCTGTCATAGTTTGTCCCCAGTAACCTAACTGCCTTTCACTAAGCCACACCTCTTAAAATGTTCCATCAACTCCCAATAGAAGTGTTGACTAGGGAGTCCATACCTTCAACACATGAGGCTTTGTAGGACATTAAAGACCAAACTACCCACCCTACCCACTGCAGTCCTCACAATTTCTTCATCAAAGAAAGCAATGAAAAGAGTCAGAGCACCTTTCCCCTGTGGAAGGTCACTTACCTGTCAGGTTGTATTGAATAAAGTTAAGCAGCAGGTAATAAGCATCATCCCTGGCCTACTACAATAGTAGAAGCATCTCACCTCTAGGCATAGGGTGGGACTGGAGGGAATAGCTAAGCACTGGTCAGCACTGCATTTTATATGGACTATAGTGATAGTAAAACAATTCTGAATTTTGATTGAGCTCTTCCTGAGGGTGTTCTCAAATTTGTTGCATTGAAAAAGAAAATTTAAGTACATTCAGTCTCAAAAACAGTGTATCTTCCATTTTGCCTGGCCTAAAACAGTGGTAGTAGAGAGATTAAGCATCCTGGATTTGGGATTCAGAAACTCCTGGATTCTAATTCTGGCACCATCAACCATCCTCTCTGGGACTGGAGATAGTGTTGTGAAGAGGAAAAAAAAATTGCAAATGTGAAAGTTGTCAGAATTAAAATAGAATCCCTTGTGCCAACCCTAAGAAAAAAAGTATATTAAGCCAGAGAAAATAAAGAAGAAAGAATTCTTTCACATGATCGTTTGATAGTAACTATCACAAAAGACATCCAGAACTTGCATAGAGGCCACTACAACCTTACACAAAAAGTATTTCCACAAGGACATCTACTGAGCAATTATCTGTTCAAACGCAGTTTTGATGTCACTCTTGTTATTAATCATTGTGGTCAAAGATTGTTGTTTGAAAATATCTGATATAATTCTCATTTTTGCCTGTAAAAACTTCCTTTTCCTCTTTTTGGAAATAAGCATAGGCTACTATGGTATACACATTCTCATTATGATGTTGTGCTAATTTCCATTGAAATGTTGCACATTCCCCAATAAATATGATTTCATAATTTTCTTTGGAGAATTTCTCTCACAGTTTTATTTAGGATGGCACTGGTGAGTGCTGGAGAATCATGAGTTGTGAGTATTATCATTATCATTATCATTCTGCCTAACCAGAATGCTTCAGGTATCCATGAATGTTGGATGCAAAAAGGGGGAAAAAAAAAAAAAGCTTCTATTTCTAATGGAAGTTTCAAGGAACTAGAGCTGTTTAGGGAGAGAAACTGATATAGGAAAAGTATTAATCCATCTACGACTAGATGAAAGAAAGAAGAGCGATGGGACTTGTTTAGTGAGGCCCTGGGAGGCAGAACTAAGATCTGAGCAGAGAGGGGCAGTCTGGGGAACATAAATTTGGCCTCATACAAAGAAGCATTCGGGGTTGAAGAATGGCAGGGGCTGCCTCCTGAGAGGGTCCGGTACCACTTTCTGGGCACCGCAGGCCTAGAAGATATATTGGTGGAGGAGTCCTGGTAGGAATTTTAGAAGTGATGAGTTTCCAGACAATGCCTCGGACCAGAGAGGGCTCCCAGAAGAAGCAGAAGGTCAAAGCCAGGAAAGGTTAAGTATCCTGACCAGCCGAGTCCAGCCGAGTCCGGTCCTCCATGGCGCAAAATCCTCAAATGCACCCTGGGGTCCTGGGAGTACCGCGGTCAAACTGCAGCGCGTGCGGAAACTCGGAAACTCCGTTGTCCCGGCGACGGAAGCGGTTAACCCGAGGACCCGGACAGGTTTGGGGGAGGGAACGGGGCGTGGCCTCGGTTACTAAGGCAGCGCGACGCTTGAGGGAGGGCCTGAGCCCAGTTTGGAGTCCAATGCTCCTCCAGGCCTCTGCATGGCACCCAAGAAAGACAAAGGGGGAACTGTGAACACCGTTTCTAAGCTGTGGGAACCCTTGCTGATAGCTGCACAGTTCAACCAGGTGAGCCCTGAGCGCTAATTGAAGTTCTCTCTGCCCCTAGCAAAGCCGGAAGCCCCGTCAGACCCCTGGCAGGCACCAACTTCGCCCTCCCCTCCAGACGCCACCGCTGCCCTCCCAAAGAAAACTGGGTCGTAGTCGGAACCCCTCTCTCGGGTCGTTTTCACTCAGTCAAGAGGGGGCAGGGAATTCCCGCCAGGCCAATCAGTGGGATTTCAAAGGGTGGTGACAGGTGCCTGCTGGGGAGGGCAGGAGGCACCGCTCTGACAACCTCAGGACCCTTTTCAATGGCATAGTCCAGAAGGCACTCCACAATTACGCTAGAATTGCACTCACAAACTCCTCGCTGCCTCTTGACAGGAATGTTGTCAAAATTATCTCTGGTTTGGCCCATAGTAGGACTTTAATTAATGCTGAGTGAAAAAAAGACATGGAGTGCAGGAGAGAGCAATATATACATAAAGTGAACCTTCTTACGGATAGGAAAGGATAACTGCCTTATGTAATGTCCTGATAACATTATATCAAAGCCTTGATGTGTTTTTGAAAGTGTAGGAGACCAGAGCAACAAGGCTCTTCGTCCATAGGTTGTCACAAACACACTGGGCAATATGCAACCCATCTGCCACATGACTTTGAGTTGCATGGGATCCCAGAACTGAATGGATCCCCTTACCCGCCTTTAGCCTGTGGGGAATCCAAGCTCTTGTCACTTGCCCCTGGAAAAAGCCACTTAAACAACTATATTGTTTCTAAGTCCAAGTAAACATCTGGAAAGAGAAACATTTCTGGAAATTCCAGCCTACCATTGTGAACTACTTTTTTAAATGAAAAGAAAAAAAAAAAACATTTTTTTTTCCATTTTATATGTGTTAACATGGTGCCTTAGAGAGTTTGTACTTTAAGGGAAAAAAATGGATCAAAAATCTTTTGTGTTGTTCTCATGAGAAAGTTTTACCTATTTATCTTACCTATCTTATTTATCTTACCTTATTTTCCACTTCGGTTGATTTTCTCTATGAACAGTAATTCTGTCTACTCTGGAAATTAGTCCTGATGAAGAATTTCATAAAAATAGTTATGATGTTAATGATGCAGATGTGACATCATGGAATTTGGGGTCATTTCTATGACTTTAGGAATAAAAGATGTGAACTCAGTAATCCCCAGTTACATTCTCAAATTCTCAAAAAATGTTTTTGAAAGCACTTTGTAAAAGCACCCTCTCTTTTGCTTTTATAAGTCAGAACTAGCCAAAATAACTTTTCTCCATTTTCTTTGAGATTATGTAGGCCAAGTTGGGCTTGGAGTGAACATTTCTGCTTGAATTATAAGCTGCTGAACAACGGAGTTTGATGGAGGTGCTGACACTGCATTAGCTTTAGAGTTGCAAATATGAAGCTATAATTTTCCTAGTTGAATGGAAAACCTAAAGGCACTATTTTTTTTTCTTATGGCTTGAAAACCTGAAATAATATTCAGTTTTCTTGATCCTACTCAAACAATATAATTTCAATAAATCTTGTGTACTAATAGAAAGAATTTGAACTCAAAGTAATATGTAGTTTTAACTACAAACAGTGAATTCACTTTTCTTCATTGGTTAATACATGTTTTGTAATTTCAAGAGGAAAACAATTGCCCTCTACTTCCTCCCATAATTTTTTGTCAGCTTGGTTTTGTGTCTGATTCATAAGGAAAATTCCCATATTAACCAACTGTCCAATGCTCTGTGTAAAAGACTCTGAATTTGGGTTAAAGATGACTGTGGATGCATAAATTCTTTTTTCATAGTGTTTAGCAAAGTGCTCTGCACATAGTAAGGGCTCAAAATGTTATTGTTTTAGCTCCTAGAGAATTTCTTTCCTTATAGTTACTCCTGAACAGGTACATGTGGTTGAGTGTGTGTGCTAGAGTGTGTGTTGTGAATATATGTGTGTACCTCCAGTCTTCATAAGCCAGATTTTAGAATTACCTCATTGGTGAATTCAACAAGTGCAGCTGCACTAGGCTTTAAAGAGAATAAATAAGTTCACAATGTTGTTACAGTGAATTTACCTTATATCACTATTTGGACTTCCCTTTAAGGCTAGAATAATTAGGAAATTTTTAGTACATTTTAGTTATTTCTAAAACATAAAATGATAGCAAATAATACAAGGCAGTCTACTAGTGAATATTAAGTGGTTAGACAGAGACTAGAGATTGAGAAAATGAATATGAACTTGGATTATAAGGAAATACTTTGCAAAAAAAACTTATCTTCAGCTGGGCCCTAAAATATAGGTAGAATTTTAACAGATTTTAACAGGTAGAATAAAGAGGGACAATTATTTTAGGTAAAGAGACAAATATGTGCCTTAAACAAATTTTGCTGATATCACTATGGTCTAAGATATTTTTAAGTCAATTCTGATTTATTTCTTCCAAACTTATCACATGGTAGATGATGCTGGGAGAAGAGCTTTGTTCATGACCCAATTTAAGAAAAATTTCCAGAATTTTTTAAACAACATAGTCATTCCTTTTAGGAGCTTACAGATGGTACAAAGCCTGTCTTTAAATAATGTCACATGGCTTCAAAGTGACTGGGGCTGTATGTTTCAATTGGAATTTTGTGCTATAATCAACACTTATGTGTAAATCCAAGGAAAAAAAAAGAAACCCTAGTATCAGTATTGAGAATATCCACAGACAAGGCATAAATCTTTCTTCTTTCCTTTCAGAAAGGATGTATTTTTTTGTCACCAAATGTATCTTTCAGAATACCAGGATTCCCTGGAAGTTTGCTTGAATTGGCTTATGTATCCCACCAGTAGAGTTTGTTTTGGGCTTTTGTTAATTTTAATCAATTATTTATTTCATATTTTCAGATTACTGAGGATAGTATTTCTTTTTATTTGCTCCTAAATTTAAGAAATATATAGCAAAACCACAAACTTACTTGTGAGACTAACTACTGATGTGGTCATTATTCCATCCCCTTACTGTGACCCACCATAGAAAACATTAAAGGCACAGAAAAAAAAAATTGTGGCAACCCATACACAATACATACCTTAACCCAGACAGACTCACTGTCCAATATTAATTGATTTCAGTTTGTAATGATGGTTTCAGGTCCCTGGTATCCAGCTTAAGTCACTAGACACCTTTATTGTCATTTGCCCAATGTTTATCAAGGTTTTATTCTTGATGAAGTCTTCAATAGAAATAGCTACATATTTTTAAGTATTTGAAAATATCTACTGCAATATATTGAAGTCTTTACTGTTAGACGGTTCTTGCACCCACTTCCACAGTTTTGTTCTTAATGTATGTTTTCCCCTTTCTAACTGAGTAATAATATTTGCAAATGTAAATTTATAGAGACTGAAAAACACAAAGTTCTATGATTTGTAATGGCACAGTTTTTCATATCTCTGGTTGTATATAAAGTATGTTGATGCCAATTCATGTCTTCATACATGTACTTTGGATAATGATGTCCATCACATTCCACCATCCTTGCTAATCCCCTGCTCCTCCCTTTCCCTCCCACCCCTCTGCCCTATCTGACATGGCAATTCTTACAGTCACTACAGCTCATTGATAACTCAATTAGCTTATTCTTCCCCATCATTTTGCCTCTAAGTCCTCTAACATTTTCTCACTCTAATTCTTCCTTTCTGATCTCATACCCCTTACTTCTACTCACCTTAAAATTACCTATTTCTGTTTGTCAAACCACTTCCATTTTCTTTTTTTAAAATATATCAAACATTCAGATACCTCTTATTCAAAGTCAATGCTTTATGTATTTGTTTAGAGTCGCTATTTCTCTGTCATGAGTGTTGAAGAGGCATGTGCTGGGTAATGAAAGCCAAAGTAGTCAATGAGATCACATCAAACTATAAAGCTTCTGCACAGTAAACAATTAACAGAGTGGAGAAACAACCCACAGAAAGGGAAAAAATATTTGCAAATCATGAAATGAATAAGTGAATAATATCCCGAATAAATGAACTACTCAGACTACTCAATAATAAGAAAAAAACCTATAAAAATTGGACAAAGGACTCATATAGACATTCCTCAAATGTCTAACATGCAAATGCTCAGTAGGTGTATTAAAAAAGCACAGAATTTCTAATTATCAGAAAAATACAAATTCAAACCACAATGATCAATCACCTCACCCCTGTTAGATAGACTGTTATCAAAAAGATTAAAGATAACTCATGTTAGGGAGAATGTGTAGACAAGAATATCTGTACAGTGTTGGTGACATTGTAAATTAATTCAGGCATTATGGAAAAGAGTATGAAGACCCCTAAAAAGAAAAAAAGAAAGCCAAAAATAGAGTTTACCATATGATTCGACTATTCCATTCAGAATATATATTCAAAGGATTTGAAATCAGTATATCAAAGAGATATCTGTGCTCTAGTGTTTACTGTATATGAATATACCACACAGAATTAACCAAGAAATTAATTTTTAAAAATAATAAAGATAGATAAATGTTAGATTAATAGAGGGAGGAGAACAGGGGGATGGGGGGAAGGGGAAGGAGAGGTACTAGGGTCTGAATTAAAACAAGATGTGTTCCAAGCTTTTAAAACTGTGTCCAAATGGATTCTACTTTCATGTATAACTAAAAAGAATCAACAAATAGTAAATTTCCACTTTCCTTTTTTTAAACTTTTCTTCCCTAAACACTGCTCATACATTCTTAATTCCCAGCTCAAAAACCGCCAGTAATCATTTATAACCACTTTTGACAAAGTTTAATCAGTCTGTACTCTTTTTT